ATTTTATTAATTTCATTTTTTGTTAGCTATCTACGTGACTTTACAGAAAGAACCAAGAAATATAAATTCCTGCAGTCACGAAAGTTTTAAGTCAAAATCTAAATCCAAAGACAAAGGTTCTCCCACCCGTATAACCTTCAACAGACTGCGAGGGCAAGTGCCGTGCGAGCGAGCGAGCGAGCGGCAGCTACGAAGGCCGGCACGGCCTTCACCGCGCTCGGCCGCCTTTGTCTCCACAGTGGCGACGTTTACACACCGCACCAGGTACTCATTTGAGGCTGAGTCGACCTAGGGGAGGTTCAAATAATCGGCACCGCTGTTGACTGGAACTCACGTCCGCCGCGCAGCGCAGTAACCACTACATAACCGCTCCCCACTTAACAAAGGCAGCAACGCTCCACTCTTCGTGATAACCACTTTCATGATTTGTATACCATGTTATTTGGGTATTTCGGTAAAATCACGTAGGTAGGTTCGAATTTCCTCCTGATGACGATCGCTTGTGTTGTGATCGAAACGTCGTGGTTTTTGTTTATTTAATTTTTATTAATTTGAACCTACCTACGCGATATTCTTGGTTCTTTCGGTAAAGTCACGTGGATAGAACATAAACATAAACAAAACATTAAAAATACATTAAAAATAATAAAAGCAAAAAACCCACGACGTTTCGATCGCAACACAAGCGGTCTTCAGCTTTAAGCCAATGTACACCATGTTATATATATATATAATGTTTTATAAATATAATTTCTGCAAACGCGCCTTGAAATAAGGCGCTATATGAATTTAGATAAGTTGTGAAGGAACACACGATGCCATTAGTAGGACCATCCTGAATGCGACGTGACTGTCCTGGGCAAACAGTGAACGCTGATGATCATAGTCGATGGCTGATGCGCGTGACACTACAGGCTTGAGATCTGAGTGAGTTGTGTAATCACAACGATGCTCTGACACGAACAGAAAGGGCGCATTCGCCCCGCACACATTTATGGCGGAGTTATGCTTATTATCTTATGCACCAACACACATTTTTTTTAAAATTACAATTTCAAAATTAGGGTCTTCGAAAAAACGTATCGACCTGTTCATTCATTGGTTTGTGTCTCTCGTGAAAAGGAGGGAGGGGGAACCCCCATCAAAAACGTGTGTCTATGTTGTGTGTCTCTCTCTCTGTGTGTCTCTGTGTGTCTCTCTGTGTGTGTCTCTGTGTGTCTCTCTCTCTCTGCTTGTGTGTCTGTCTGTGTGTCTATGTTGTGTGTCTCTCTCTGTGTGTCTCTGTGTGTGTATCCCTCTGCTTGTGTGTCTGTCTGTGTGTCTATGTTGTGTGTCTCTCTCTCTGTGTGTCTCTGTGTTGTCTCTCTCTGTGTGTCTATGTGTTGTCTCTCTCTGCTTGTGTATCTGTCTGTGTGTCTGTATGTCTCCGTGTCCGTGTTTTGTCTCTCTCTCAAATTGAGTTCTACCGGATGACGACTGCTTATGTCGCAATCGAAACGTCGTGTTCCATTATCTAATTTATTTTCTTTCTACGTGACTTTACCGTAAGAACCAAAGAGTTCAAACTCTACGATGTATTTCCCGAGTAATTCGCCTGTCGCCGAGTGTGACGTTAGCGACATTTGAAAGCGTACAAACCCCTCTGGCAGTGCGTCACTTGAAATCATCACGATATAGTTGACAAAATACACAAAACAAATACAGAATTAACACAATATATATGTGCAGACAGTTACAACTCCTTCGCATATCCGTCTGTCAAACGTATTTTTTTAAATGTATGTCCTCCGTGTATTTCCATTTATAACACAAATCAAACTTTGGACCCGCCCCCACTGGATGTTTGTGAAGAAGAGCTTTACAGCTCATCGGATTCCTCCTCCAGTTTAAATACAGACTCTGATTCTGGACCGGCTTCGACATTCAGAAAACTCATTAGCGTGATGCGTCTCATATATATATACACACACGCACGTGTCCCGTTCACTTTACAAAAAGTGAAAGTATTTCTTACACAAGCCATCATGCTACACGGCATTCTCGGAGTGAGTTCATCATTGGGTTCCTCGGATAGTACTGTATATGTATATACTGTACTGTACAGGGTGGCCCAGAAGTCAGGACACATCAGTGTGTCACATTCATTTGAACAAATCGCATGTCATGGTCAAAAATATCAACAACGATAATACACAAAATATTAACTTAACGAATAAACAATAAAAACATGTTTGAATGCCACTGTTAAAATAAATGAAATAACGCTGTGTGCCCTAACTTTTGGGCCACCCCATATCCACTCTATTTACACACACTGCTGCTCATGTAGACAACCCCATAACAACAACACTAACAGCCGCCATTCACCACTACGTGGCGGTGACGTCACCACGGCGCCTGTGCCAGGCTAGGTGCACTCCGAGGCCACGTGAAGCGTCGAAGGCTCGCTGCTGGTACGAGGTCACGTGACAGACCCAGGTGCCAAAGGGTTGATTGACCGAGATGACTGGCAGATGTGTCTACGCTTTCCACAAACACAAAGATCTCCCATGTAGCCTTCACAGACTGTTGGGGCAAGTGCTGTTCGCGAGCACCTATGAAGGCACGAGGGTGTTGGCGGCCAGCACCACACCCGGCCGCCTTTCTCTCCCTAGTGGCGACATTTACACACTGCACCGGGTACTCGTTTGAGGCTGAGTCGACCTAGGGGAAGCCCAAGTAGGGTTCAGCTAATCCGTCACTGGTGTTGGCCGTGAGCGCGATTCGACCTCGGGTCGCCCGGTTTGTAGTGCAGCACGCTAACCACTACACTACCGCTCTACACACACACACACAGACACACACACAATCTCACACACACACACAGTCTCACACACACACAGACACACACACATAGACACACACACAGTCGCACACACACACAGACACACACACAGACACACACACACAGCCATGCCTGCCCTGTGTGTGTGTGTGCCATCGTCAGGAACTGCTGTGCTGAGACATGTGTCTTGAATGATTCTTCTGTCAGCTATAAACGAAGTCTAATATTGCCATTATAAATTATCGTGGCCCGTAATTCCGCATGCGTGTAACGTATTGACTAATCCGGCGTGTAAATGGGTGACGTGTGTTAAAGTGATGTACTTTACACTATTTGTAAGTATCAAAACGAATTCTTGACTTGTATTCGCGGATGTTGGTGTGTGTGCGTGATCCGTGTGTGCGTGTGCAGTATGCGGTAGTGTAGCACGCTGCGCTACGAACCCGGTGACCCGAGTTCGATTCCCGCTCACGGCCACCAAACACCAAGTGACGATTTTCTGAACCGGTCCTTGGATGCTCCCCTAGGTCGACTCAGCCTCCATTGAGTAATTGGTGCAGTGTGTTAATATCGGCACTGTACTGCGCTGTGAAACTGACAATAACCCAAGTTCGATTCACTCCTACGTTCACCAACCCTCGCACTGACCCACCAGCAAAGGTGCAGTATGGTCAAACAACCATCATGACCCAAAGGTGCTGGAGAGAGACACGTGGAGCGACATTTTGGCCAGGCTGCGGTGGCTGATTTGGCAACAACTACAATTTCACATTCAGGACATTCAGGTGTTCGAGTCAGGAACATCGGAGTTCGTGTCGCAGTGATGTCTCCTTCGTATGTGTGGATCGGTGGTTGTCGTCGATTTAAGTTGCACTGTCGCACACCGCTGAAGAGTTTGTTTTTTTACTTTTCCATTCGCGGATCAGGTGTTCGCATCTGCTGCCATGGTTGAACCGTGAGCTTTCGTGGGATATCAAACCCAGGGATCTTCTGCGTTGGCTCTGGCGCAAGGTGTTGTTTTTGTTTCGTTGTTCGTGAGTTTTTTTGAACTCCATTCAGCTCTCCCCGCAAGCTTCATCGGCCAGGCAGCGGTGGCCACCTGGAACCCACCAGTGTGGTCGCAGCAGCAGCAGCAGTAGCAGCAGCAGCAGCGATGGGTTGGTGGCTCACCGCACACCGATGTTTGTCAAACTCACCCCCCCCCCCCATTAAGTGTAATGACGTCGCTATACGCCACCACCACCACCACCACGCGCTGACCTTTCCCCACGTTGCAAACGGTTGCTAATTAATTCGGGAACAAAGGGCACAGAAGTCGCCACAATGCAAGCTGCACGCGCGCGTCCGACCTGGCTAATTGGAGAGGCACGAGCCGCCCACTATCCTGCGTTGCTGTTCATTTCATCTGCTGCAGCTACTGCTGCTGCTGTTGTTGCTGTTGCAGCTGTTGACGCGTCCCCTACGCATGCAGGATGCTACCACTGTTTCTTGATGCTGCTGTTGCTATTGCAGCTGTTGACGCGTCCCCTACGCATGCAGGATGCTACCACTGTTTCTTGATGCTGTTGTTGCTGTTGCAGCTGTTGACGCGTCCCCTACGCATGCAGGATGCTATCACTGTTTCTAGATGCTGCTGCTGTTGTTGTTGCTATTGCACCTGTTGACGCGTCCCCTACGCATGCAGGACGCTGCCACTGTTTCTTGCTGCTGCTGCTGCTGTCGCTGCTATCGATGCTGTTGGCTGTGTTGCCGCTGTTCCCGTTCACACACGAGGTGACCGCTCTTGCTGTTACTGCCTCCGCCTCACTGTTGCTGCTGCCTTTGCTGCAACCGCTGGTGCTGAGCGCTGTTTCTCTTGCAGCTACATCTGCTCCCATCACTGCTGCTGTAGCTTACAGTGACTCCTACCGCTACAACTGCTGCTGCTATAGCTGCTGCTGCTATAGCTGCTGCTGCTATAGCTGCTGCTGCTGCTATAGCTGCTGCTGCTGCTGCTATAGCTACTGCTGCTGCTGCTATAGCTGCTGCTGCTGCTATAGCTGCTGCTGCTGCAATAGCTGCTGCTGCTGCTGCTGCTACTGCTGCTATAGCTGCTGCTGCTATAGCTGCTGCTGCTGCTATAGCTGCTGCTGCTATAGCTGCTGCTGCTGCTATAGCTGCTGCTGCTATAGCTGCTGCTGCTACAACTGCTGCTGCTGCTGCTATAGCTGCTGCTGCTACAACTGCTGCTGCTGCTGCTGCTGCAACTGCTGCTGCTGCTGCTATAGCTGCTGCTGCTATAGCTGCTGCTGCTGCTGCTATAGCTGCTGCTGCTGCTGCTATAGCTGCTGCTGCTGCTATAGCTGCTGCTGCTGCTGCTATAGCTGCTGCTGCTGCTGCTATAGCTGCTGCTGCTGCTATAGCTGCTGCTGCTGCTGCTGCTGCTATAGCTGCTGCTGCTGCTATAGCTGCTGCTGCTGCTGCTATAGCTGCTGCTGCTGCTATAGCTGCTGCTGCTGCTGCTATAGCTGCTGCTGCTGCTGCTGCTATAGCTGCTGCTGCTGCTGCTATAGCTGCTGCTGCTGCTGCTATAGCTGCTGCTGCTGCTGCTATAGCTGCTGCTATAGCTGCTGCTGCTGCTGCTATAGCTGCTGCTGCTGCTGCTATAGCTGCTGCTGCTGCTGCTATAGCTGCTGCTGCTATAGCTGCTGCTGCTGCTGCTACAACTGCTGCTGCTGCTATAGCTGCTGCTACAACTGCTGCTGCTGCTGCTATAGCTGCTGCTGCTGCTACAACTGCTGCTGCTATAGCTGCTGCTGCTGCTGCGTGTCACTGTTACTGCTGCTGTGGCTGCATCTGTTGCACATACGACTCGTGACCAATGCTATTGCTATACTCCTGCTGTTGCTGCTGCTGCTTTTGCTAACTGCGATGTAAGATCTCTTTCTCTAAGGCCGGTGCTATTGACTCCGTTACTAATAAGGCACATTGCTGTTGTTGCTGCTACTGCTGCTGTTGCTGTTGTTGCTGCTACTGCTGCTGTTGCTGCTATAGCTGCTGCTGCTGCTGTTCTTCTCTTGCGGGCGCCACTCGCTGTTGCGGGGTCCCGGGGTTCGAGGCGGTGCCGGGGTCAGCCTCTCTCTCCCCTTCTTTCCCTCCCTCTCCTCCCTCCCTCCCCTCCCTACCTCCCGCCCTCCCCCTTCTGCCTTGCCCTCGACGGACGGGACGGAATATAAATGACGCGATTTCCAGAGTTCAGGCAGAGTTCAGCGGTCAGCTTTCGGCGCATTTATATTCATGCAACGTGTGCGAAAGCAGCGGGTACATTAATCACTGATCATTCTCACACTGCGTATTTGATCGCTTTTTTTTCTCTCTCTCTCTCTCTCTTATTTTTTTTAACCGTGGAAAGTCTCGCCAGTCGCCAGCCGCCGCCGCCGCCGCCGCCGCCTGATCTGGCTGGGATTTTTTTTTTGGTAAGCGGGGAGGGAGTGGAGGGAGTGGGAGGGTGGGTGGGAGCAAAAAGAAGCATGTTGACGAAAAGAAACGCGGCTCGCATAGAATAAGGCGGTGGTGGTGGTGATGGTGGTGGTGGTGCAGGGTGCTTTGCTTTAGTAGGATCGATCGATAGGCACAATGCATCCCGCAGTGAGTGGATTTCAATGCGCGTCTGTGTGTGTGTGTGTGCAAGCGTGTGTCTGTGTGTGTGTGTACGCATGTGTCTGTGTGTGTGCCGTGGGGGTGGGTGTAGCAGTTAGCGCGCTACGCTACGAACCCGGCGACCCGAGTTCGATTCCCGCTCGCGGACAACAACTACCGGTGACGATTATTTGAACCCGTCCTGGTCCTCCCCTATGCCGGCTCAGCCTCAAATGAGTTACCTAGTGCGCTTAGGAGACAAAAGCGGTGGGTGTGGTGTTGGTCACCCACCTCCTCGTGTGCCGTGCTGGCCTTCATAGGTGCTCGCTAACAGCACTTGCCCCAACAGTCTGTTGAAGGCTATACGGGGCATCTTTAGATGTGTGTGTGTGTGTGGAACCCACCGCGGCGGCTTGTTCTACACTTACGCACGTGTCGAGAACGTGCGCACACGCGAACAAAGGGAAAGATCCTCCCGTATAGCCTGAACATACTTAGGGGCAAGTGCTGTTAGTGAGCGCACACGAAGGCCGGCACGGCGCACGAGGGGGGGGTGGGTGGCAGGGACACACAACCACACGTACCACCCTCCCGCTTGTGAAATATTTTGCGAGTACGACGTGTGGGTAAGAAATATATATTACATTGTCACGAGCCCACACACGCACGTATACGCATATTGTGAATTTATTTTTTTTCAACGAAAACAAAACAACGTTACTTCGTTCGGGCATTCCGAGATTTCGTGCGTGTGAGTTCCGGCCTTCGAGGAATAGTTTGCGAGCGAAAGAAGTTGCCGCTCGTACGTCGAGTTCCGTGCACGTACAACGACCAGACCACACCGCATCGCCTTCGACGGACTGTGGGGGCAGACGCTGTTCGCGAGGAGCACCGAGTAAGGCCCGAAGTGCGCACGATCTGGTGGTGGTGGGGTCATCACCAGGCCCGGGCTGCCTTTGTCTCCCCCAGTGCTGATGTTTCGTACACCGCACGAGGTGCTTATTTTAAGGCTGAGCCGACGTAGGTGAGGATGCCCACGAACCCGAGCAAACGTCCGCCACTCGTATTGGTCGCGAGCTGGAAATAAACTCGGGTTCCACACTTTCTGATCGACACGGCAAGGCCGGTTCATGAGTTGACGGTCCGTTAAATAGTTAGTTCGTGTTGTGTTTCGTTTGTTGTCGTCCTTCCAGGCACCTCCGATTAGCACGGTTGCCTACGCACGGTGCGAAAGAAGTTCACCCGTACATGCATCTTGCATTGCGAAATTTGCGCGTGGTTTTTTTTGGTACATATATACATACATCGCGTATATCTTCTTAATGTAATCGTCGCACGCGAGCGTTGCTTCATATGCTACATCTGAACGGCAGCAAGCCCCGTGGAGTCGAGCTGCGTCTACTGGACCGAGTCGCGAATCGCGCCCTTTGTCTGCTGAGCACGGGAGGGGTTCGCGTCTTCACAAGCGTGACGACCAACTCACACACGCACACACAGATCTAGATATATACTTACACAGTATTTTTAGCATTTGACGACGCTTCGCGGGTATCATCACAATCGCTCGCGGTGATAAATCGCATTAGTGACGACGACGACGATGATGATTTATAAAAAAAATTATAATGAAGACCGCAAAGATGCGCATAGCGAAACGTGATCGTTCGTCACTTATTCCAATTGTCCGCCGAAGTGAAATGCGTTCACTGCTTGAGATTTTCGATATTTTATACGTATTATCATCATTATTGCATTATCGAGCATGTGCATGGATACCCACGGCCTGGGAGGGAGGGTGCTGGATTTGTTCGCTGTCGTAATCGTGAACGGAGGTGCCGGGCGAGAGGATCAGACTTGTGCATGTTTCGATCCTGTTCGTACCACGAGGGGAACGTCTCCCACGCTGCAGAGACGCCTCTGTGTGTAGGGTCGACTCAGCCTCAAAGTGAGTACGCGTTGTGTTTAAGCATCGCCACTCGGGAGACAAAGGCGGCCGGGCGTGTGGTGCCGTGCCGGCCTTCGCTAACAGCACTTGCACCACCCCCCTAAGAGTATATTAAGGCGATACGGGTGGGGGCTCTTTGTCTCTGTGTGTCGTTGTGGGGAGCGGTAGTGCAGCGGTTAGCGCGCTGCGAGACGAAATCCGGCGAGCCGAATTCGATTCCCGCTCACGACCAAGACTCGCGACGATTATGTGAACCGGTTCCAGGGCCTCCCCTAGGTCGACTCAGCCTCCAATGAGTACCTGCTGCGGCGTGTAAAATATCCCAACTGTAGGGAGACAAAGGCGGCCGGGCGTGGGGCTGGCCACCCACTCCCCTCGTGTGGTGCCGTGCCGGCCTTCATAGGTGCTCGCTAACAGCACTTGCCCCAACAATTTAGGGAGACTTTACGGGGGTTATTTGTATTTACTTTCTGTGTCCTTCTTAGCAATTGTTCACGCAGGCATACAAACAAACATACACACATACACGCAAACACACACGTATGCACGGACACAAAGACAAAGGTCCTCCGTGTAGCTTCATAGACTGTCGGGGCAAGTGTTGTTCGCGTGTGTTCGCGTTCGACCGCCTTTGTCTCTCTATTGTCGACGCCTAAACACCGCACCAGGTGCTCAATCAAGACCGAGTCGCCCTAGGGGGCGGTCCTAGGAAAGGCCCAGGGTGGGTGGCCAGCACCACGCCCGGCCGCCTTTGTCTCCCTTAGTGGCGATGTTTACACACCGCACCAGGTACTCATTTGAGGCTGAGTCGACTTAGGCGATGTTCACGACCGGTTCCAGATATTCACCACAGACGGAATCCGTGAGCGGGAATCGAACGCGGTTTCGCCAGGGTTTCCAACGCAGTGCGTCAACCACTTGCGCCACCGCTCCCCCCAAAAAGGCAAATAAACACAACTCCGCCAAGAAAGTAATCGTGAAACGCAATCCTTTACAAAAAATTAGATGCAATGTTTATTCAACAGTAAACTTGGGTACTGGCCGTACAACAACAGCGCCATCAACAACAACAACAGGGATGAGGGGTGTTGTAAGGTAGTGAAACGACTCGCGCACACCATAAGCACATGTATTGGTGAAGTATGGTCAAACACACCCCACACCCCCCCAGTTGAGTGAGAAGGCGTGCGGTCTCCGTGACGTTCACAAAGAGGGCCCTGCCACCGATGAGTTGGCACAATACATTTAGAAAGAATTTTGCTCTGAAATGTCGCGCGGTTGCACAAACAGCGCTCGTATAATGTCAAATCGGCCGATACATTTCACTACCTCGGAGGCAATGCTTGGTGGATCACAGGCTACGCGGTGGCCAGGAGATGGCGGTACATCAACTGGATTATGGAATCCGTGTGTGCGGATCTTCGCTGCGTGGTTGGGTTGTCTCGCGGTACGACTGTTTGCGGTTCATCTCACGGTCAGAGACGCTCAAATCTTGAACAACTCAGTCAAACGTTACCTCGGATACACAATGAGCATCTCTCGATGTTTGATATCATTATTGTTGCTATTAATCATACTATAATCTAGCATTTATAATACACAGCTAGTAAAAATAGGCACAAGCCCATCTCTCAGAATAAAGCGTGACGTTTTACGCATTAGATCTGCTATACATATATATGTATATGATACTGCAAGTAAACAGAACATGGACATGTGTGTCTACTCAAACGAGAATTGGACTTGCGCTCATTTCTCATTGATATTCGGTGGCGCTGAAAAATTCCACATTTCTATGACGGGGACCTTTAAAGACTCTAAGCCTATATATATATATATACATATATATCTATGACAAACATCGGAGATTCGCACGCAAACCTTTCACAGACTATTGGGAGCAAGTGGGTGTTAACGAGCAGCACCCGCGAAGGCCGGACACGATAAGCGTGTGGCCGCCACCCATCCGGGCCGCCCGCGTACCACAACGCACCACGTGAACTCGTTCGAGGCTGAGTCGACCTAGTTGAGGCCCAGAACCGGTTCACACAATCGTTCCCCGGTGCCGGTGGTTAGCGGGATCCGTGAGCGACGACAAATCGAACTCGGCACGGCGTGATTTTCGCAGCGCGCTCACCGCTGCGCCACCGCTCCCCCGACGCTTGCTCGGCCATGGCGGGACATCGTCACCGGTATCGGCGCCCTGTGAGCCGGTTAACAAAACGCAAGCGTCTGCTGCTGTTCGATTGCACGGAATCTCCCTGTGGTGGGGGGGGTCACCGTTTGGTGCGAACGCCCACCCCAAAAAAAATCCCCATCACAGCACGGGATCGGGGGGGGGGCGCATTGTTAAATCGATCTCCGATCAGTATCGGTTCGGTTCGGTTCTGGATTTTGTTTCTTCTTCAATTCCTGTCGCCGTGCGAACCTTGACCCGCGGCTCCCGCGTGACGCTGCGGGATAAACGACGGCCGCCCGCGTGACCCGGCAAGGTTAGGGGCGAGCCAGTCCATTATTCTCGCCCCCCCCCACGCCCCCCTGCGCCCTGCGCGTACACAACACGAGTTGTCGCCAGCTACCCCCCCCACCCCCCCCGGTTGACCGAAGGAAGCGGTAGAAAGAAGAGGGTGACGTGGGTGGGGTGAGGTTGGGGGTGGTGGTGGTGGGGCCGCTGCTGCGACACCCGGCGACCCGAGTTCGATTCTTGCCGCTCACGTGCACCATCATCAACATCACCACCACCAACATCACCAACACCATCACCACCATCAACACCATCACCAACACCACCACCAACACCGTTACCACCACCATCAACACCACCACCACCACAAACATCACCACCAACACCATCACCACCATCACCACCATCACCACCATCACCAACACCATCACCAACACCACCACCAACACCGTTACCACCACCATCAACACCACCACCATCACCAACACCATCACCAACACCGTCACCACCACCATCACCACCACCAACATCACCACCACCACCACCACCATCATAACCACCACCATTACCACTACCGTCACCACCATCATCACCACCATCACCATCATGGTGTTGGTGATGGTGGTGATGGTGGTGGTGGTGGTGATGGTGGTGGTGGTGATGGTGTGAAGGGTTGGGGGACATTTGCCTTTGTCTGTTGGCCCCGGGGTGATGGTGGCGGTGGAGGAGGAGGATGAGGAGAGGGGGAGGGAAGAGAGACTTTGTGCTCGGGGTCACGGGACTGGGAAGGTCGCGGCGCCTTGACACCGGGGGGACGCAATGCTCTCAATCAGGGCAGCAGCAGCAGCAGCAGCGGCAGCAGCAGCAGCAGGAAAAGAAGAAGCAGGAGGAGGAGGAGCAGCAGGAGGAGAATGGGCTCTCTGCCCTCGGCGTGAACCTGCACGGCGCGCGGCGATGCGCGACCGCCGTTGTTCAAGGGCTCAAGGCTACGCGAACAACGCCGACGCCTCCTCCTCCTCCTCGGCGCACGCTCGGATCCCAGCAGCGTGAACGTCGCGGGGCCGACGACGACTACGACGACGAGGAGGAGGAGAGGGTGCGGACGAGGGCTGCGTCCCCACTGAGGCCGCTACCCCCGCAGGCCCCCCGAGCAAGAAGATTGCGCGATAAGAAAGTGGGGGGGGGGGGGGGGGGGGGGTGACGTAGCGATGAGATCGGTTGTTGTGTGGTGTGTGTTGTGTGTGTGTTGTTGTTGTTGTTGTGTGTGTTGTTGTTGTGTGTTGTGGTGTGTGTTGTTGTGTGTGTTGTTGTGTGTGGTGTTGTGTGTTGTGGTGTGTGTTGTTGTGTGTGTTGTTGTGTGTGTTGTTGTTGTGTGTGTGTTGTCGTGTGTGTGTTGTGTGTGTGTGGTGTGTGTTGTTGTGTGTGTATTGTGTGGTGTATTGTGTGGTGTATGTTGTTGTGTGTGTGTTGTTGTGTGTGTTGTTGTGTGT